GCTACCCTTGTGGTTTTCAGCCCCCGTTGTTATATCCTTCTCTTTTACCCCCACCGATATGTTTAAAAGGCCCCCCCCCCCCCCCCCCCCCCCCCCCCCCCCCCCCCCCCCCCCCCCCCCCCCCCCCCCCCCCCCCCCCCCGCCTCCCCCCCCCCCCCCCCCCCCCAAAAAAAACAAAAAAAAACACACACACACACAAAACAAAGCAAAACTAATTTTCTATTTTTTTTCCCCTTTAGTTACTTTTTCCACCACACAATTTTGAGTTTTTAATCAAACCAGTAATGCACGATGTGCATTACACGTGAATATATTTGGGGTTCATAGCATTTTTTGTCTTTAAAATATACATTTTCTGTCAATTTAATCTTTAATGTATCAATTTAGTCTCTAAAATATTCAATTCATGTTATTTTAGTCCCGACATAGACAGACTATTAAGTTTTCGACAAAATGATCACGTGAAACCGTTTAAAAAAATAACATGTGGCCACTTCTGTCAAAAATTTTAATAGTCCATTTATGCGGGAACCAAAATAACACAAATTGAATACTTTAAGGATCAAATTGACAAAATTGATACATTAAGGACTAAACTGATAAAAAATAAATATTTTATGGACCAAAAGTGTTATTAACCCATATATTTAAAAAATAATTTTTACACTAATTTTTATTTTAAGGATTAATTACAAAATACCCCCTTGAACTTTGGGTCTTATTTCAATTAGGGTCCTCTGGTTTAAAATTAAAGAATTCGCCCCCTTCAAGTTCTAAAATTAACAAGTTGACTAATTAAGTAGACAAAAATTTTAAAATTACTTTTGTACCCTTGGCCTTTATTCGTCTCCATTTTTTCCTTTCTCTTTCCCAATTAAGCCAAAATCTCCAACCCCACCATCCACAATCCACTGCAACCACCAACCACCACAGTTGCCAACACAGTTACAATCAACCCGCCAACAAACCACCATAGCCACCTCCCAGCCACAACCATTGCAACTACCAACCACCGCAACCATAATCAACCAACCAACAAACAATTGTAGCCATTACCCAACCACCTAGTCACCCAACCACAAACCACCGCAGCCACCACCTAACTAACTAGCCAACAACAACCGCAAATACCAACGTAGCCACAAACCATCGTAGCAACTACCTAGCCACCCAAACCACAAACCACCGTAGCCACCACTTAACCACTGGCGACAAAACCACCAGATTCACAGTGGAGGGGGACAGTTTCAGTGGGGTGTGTTTCGATTTCAGTGGAGTTGAGGGAAAGGTAGGGGTGGGTTTCGGCTTCAGTAAGGAGGGTTGGAGGGATTAGAGTTTGGGTTCAGTTGATGGGGAGGGATTAGGTAGTTGAAGGAAAGGTGGAGGTGGGTTTTCGGTTTCAATGGAGGGGTGGGAGGGATTTGGGTTTCGGTTCAATGAAGGGGGAGGGATAAGGGGGTTGAGGGGAAGGGAGGGGGTGGGTTTCAGTGGAGGGGGGGAGGGATTTGGGATTTTCACTGAAGTTGGGTTTTTTTCTTTTTCTTTTGATTTTTATTTTTATACAAAATATTAAA